TTGAATAATTTTATCAAGCTCTAGGGCATAAGAGCATAGTTGTCTGGTACCTGGCCTAGGGTAGATATAGATAGATAGTGGCCTAGAATGTGTGAGTCCAATAAAGAACATAGTTGGGGTATGGGCTTTGTATTGGTTGGCTTGCATACAAAAGGTATGCTCACAGGGTGGTTGTTTATTGTCTCTAGGAATAAGCTAGCTCTGGAAGGGACAGTCTCTCCAGGGTCAGCAAGACCCCAGATGTAAAAACATCATAAACACATGGTTAACACAGTATGAGACATCAATTTTGTTCTTTTCCAAGAATTGTTTTTGTTTTGACTATTTGGTGTCACTTCATATACATTTTAGGATGGATTTTTCTGTTTCTGTAAAAAACATCATTGGGATTTTAATAAGGATTTTATCAAATCTATAAATCACTTTGGAAAGTATTGACATCTTAACAAAATAAAATCTTCTAATCCATGAGCATAAGTTGCCTTTCCATTGATTTGTGTCTTTAATTTCTTTCAACAGTGTTTTGTAGTTTTTAGCATACAAGTCTTTTGTCTCTTTGATTAAATTTATTCTAAGTATTTATTCTTTTTCAATGCTATTATAAATGGAACTAGAAGCCGGGTGAATGAAGTTCATGCACAGAGGGCAGGGGGTGGGGGATGTCCCTCCTGCACCCTCTCTAAACTGGGACCCCTCAAAGGATGTCCAATTGCCCCAGTAGGATCAGGCTTAAACAGACAATTGGACATCCCTCTCACAATCCAGAACTGTTGGCTTCTAACTGCTCGCCTGCCAGCCTTCCTGATTGCCCCTAACTGCTTCTGCCTGCCAGCCTGATCACCCCTAGCCACTCCCCTGCCAGCCTGATTGATGCCTGACTGCTCCCTGCCAGCATGATTGCCCCTAACTGCCCTCCCCTGCAGGCCTGGTCACCCCTAATTGCCATCCCCTGCAGGCCTGGTCACCCCTAACTGCCCTCCCCGGTAGACCTGGTCATCCCCAACTGCCCTCCCCTGCAGGCCTGGGTCCCCCGCAGCTGCCCTTCCCTGCAGGCCTGGTCGCCCCAACTTACCTCCTCTGCCAGCCTGGTTACCCTTAACTGCCCTCACCTACAGGCTTGATCGCCCCCAACTGCCCTCCCTTGCAAGCCTGGTCCCTCCCAACTGCCCTCCCCTGCTGGCCATCTTATGGTGGCCAACTTGTGTCCACATGGGGGCAGGATCTTTGACCACATGGGGGCAACAATCTTGTGTGTTGGAGTGAAAGTCAATTTGCATATTACTCTTTTATTAGTTAGGATTGTTTTCTTAAATTTTTTTTGGATTGTTCTTTGTTAGGGTATAGAAATGCAACTAACTTTGCCTGTTGATTTTGTATCCTGTAAAATTGCTCAATGTTTTTAGTATTCCTAGCAATTTTTTGTGTGGAATCTTACAATTATTAACATATAAATCATGTTGTTTGTGAATACAGATAATTTTATTTTCTCCTTTCCATTTTTGGATGCCTTTTATTTTCTTACCTAATAGTTCTGGTTAGGACTTCAAATACTATGTTGAATAGAAGTTGAAAAGCAGAATACTTGTTCTTGATATTGGAGGGAAACCTTTCAGTTTTTCACCATTAGATATGATATTAGCTGTGAGTTTTTTACATATTACCTTTATTATGATGAGATAGTTTTCTACGATTACTAGTTTGTGGGTCAAATGTGTTTTCAGTATCAATTGAGATGATTATGTGTTTTTTCTTCAGTCTGTTGATGTAGTGTATTTTATCAATTGATTTTCGTGTGTTGAACCATCCTTGCATTCCAAGAACAAATCCTACTTGATTATAGCATCTGATCCTTTTGATATACTGTTGAATTTAGTTTGCTAGTTTTTTGTTGAGGTATATGTTGTATCAGTTAGTATTAGCACAGTGTTGGCCTCATAAAATGAGTTAAATCTTCTATCCTTTTTAATTTATTTGGGAATCGTTGGAAAAGGATTTGTGTTATTCTTGAAATATTTGGTAGGATTCACTAATAAAGTCATCTGCTCTTTGTGTGATTTAATTTTTAATACCACATGATTTCATATGATCACTTGCTAGAAGAAACAAAGAAAAACAAGACCAAAGTTAATTGTACTTTTATTTTTAAAGTCCCACATAAGACATCCTCCAAAAATAAGACCTAGCACATGGAAAGATAAGACATCCCCTGAAAATAAGACCTAGTGCAACTTTGGGAGAAAAAATTAATATAAGACACTGTCTTATTTTCGGGGAAACAGGGTATATCTCTCTTAAGTGGTTCACATAGTGTTTTTTTTAAAATTTCTTAATTATTTTGATATGGAAATGTGAAATATATGTTTATTTTTGCCATTTTAAAACATAGCCAATCCTCAAGACTCATAATATTTGGTTTGAACAGCATTATATAGCAAAAAAGAGCAGAAAACTAGATTTTTACTATTGATTCTACCCTTTTCTCACTGTGTGATCTTGGAAAGATGTCCATATTTGACACTAGAATAGATCATCTTTAAGCCCCTCCCCGACAAATTATTTGTAATAATCCTGATGTTGAAGTGAACACGGGAATGAAAGAGGAAACTTACTTTTATTTGAGTTAAATTCTGTTGTTTGAATTATTACAAGAAAGTATTACTAAAATTAAATGACTATAGTTAAAGAGCAAAAAAACTTAAATAGGAGGGGATAAAAAGTAGTGTGACATGCCTCTGGATTCTTTGCTTGTGAGTTTTTTAAAAAATGTATTGAGTATTTAGAGAGAGATGGGGGAAGGGAGAGGGAGAGAGAAAGAGAAAGAGAAGCATTGATATGAGAGTGGAACATCTATTGGGCTGCCTACTGCACACTCCCTACTGGGGATTGAGCCTGCAGCCCAGGTATGTGCCCTGACCTGGAATTAAACCAGCAACCTTTTGGTGCATGGGACAACATCCAACCAACTGAATCACACCGGCCAGGATGTGATTTTGTATAATAATAATATTGATCTTTTATTAAGCACCACAGGCACTGAGCTAGGAACTTGAAATGTATTACCTCTGATTTTTACAAATATTATTATGAATATAAAGTGTTTTTCTCATTTTAAAGTTAAAGAAACTTTTAATTTGCTCAGCATCATACAACCGGTAATATGTGAACCAGAATTTGAAGCAAGGTTTATTGCCTCCCAAATCTTCATTGAGCTGCCTGGTGGGAAGTAGAACTAGGTTCAAATCACAGGGTCAGATGAGCCAATTATGGTGTTTCGATTAAAAATAAAATAATAAACTTTTAAATGACATCTGAGCTTGTTCTCTATATTATCAAAAATTAATTTACAGCTAAAACAAGATACCATTTTGAGGAAATTTATTTGTATTTGTCTTTTCTTTTTAGTCTAATGGCTTTTCTCATTTAATTGTGCAAAAGTTTTATGAAAATAATTTATTTTACACATCTTTTGGACAATTATAATTCATGAGGCTAAAAAGTTAAAAAGTAATGTTTTGAATTTTGTTTAACCTGCTTCCCAACTTTATTGGATCTGTAAAACCCTCCTTAACCTTCTCTCCTCACCACTGTAATACCTATTTAAATTCCAAAAGTCTATGGGACATATTTTAGGCTAATGTTTTACTATAAATCAAACTTCAGGCCCTCACCCTCTTTTTACTTGAGAAGCCTCGGTGCTGAGGAACTTCATTTAGGATTGGCAGAGAAAGCTCTTGCAATAGCCTTTTTCATTTGGTCTGTGAGAGACTTTTAGCTACCTATGTAGAATTTCCTCTGGAAAGATCTGATTTGCATTTTGTGATAGAAAAAGCATAGATGTTAGAAAGACTTATTAGACTCTGCATCTTCATAGCTGAGTGGTCCTTAAGCCTTTATTTCTTCGTCTGTAAAGTAAGAATAATGTAACCTTGTAAGAGAGGTTTATAGAAGTAGATAAGATACACAAAACAGCTAACAGAAATATGCATTTCATAAGTACTTAGAGCGTGATGCCTTATCCAGCTCTTCTTCCTGCTTCTCATCATGTCCAATAAGAGAGAAAGTAGGCCTCAAGTACTTTATAGGCCAAAGGAAAACCTGGTTTTATCTTTTCCCATAGCTCTCTTCCAGCAGCTGAGCTACCAGTATGTAAGTATAGTACAACAGGTGTCTACATTAGCGTGCTGGATTTAGTAATGGCTTTAGGTGTTTTGTAAGTTTCTATGGTTTGCATCATCACATTTTGCTTGTTTGTTGAATAGGACTTAGCTTGTCTCAAAACTTAACTGCTAAAGATGTGTGTAGAATATTTGAGGCAGAGGTATAGTTATTTTTCATGCTCTCTTTTTCTCCTTAGCTCATACATATTCAAAGGTAATAATTGAAATTATACTAAATTTATGCCTTTTTTACTTATACATTGTTTTATCTCTATTGTGATATTCAAAAGCAAAAATTTTATTTTCATATAGAAATATTAAGGAACATCTCCAGATATTTGACAACAGATGCTTTTGGAGTTTGTTTGCTTTAAGGAATGGAACTGAACCAGAAGAGATTTCTTGAGTGGCTATCTGCATAATTATTTTTAATGCATCTAAAAAAATGTTTTGTGTAAGACATACATTTTAATTTCTTATAATAATCATTTTTAGCATATATTCTTTAAGCTTGGTTTAAAAGTTATATGCAGTTAAATGGGATTTGAGGAGAAATAGAGGTATGAAAATTTACTTGAATTGTATTTGATTTTGTCATTTAACAATACTAGACATTTTTTGAAATTTTGGCAATGTGGATACCCATGTTCAGTCATAGTAAGTTTCTAATATGTCATGTTCTTGTTGGACATTAAAACTATAATGCAGTTTTATCATTGTGATTTTCAAGCTATGGTTGTTATAGTAACTACATACCAAGAATTAAAGTTATGTTTGTCTCTTCTGCATAGAAAAATAATTCTCTAGAAAATGTCACATGAATTTCAAATTTTCTTTCCTCAGATTTATAATGACCATTTAATAGCTAGTGAAAACCACCATATAATCCAATGGGAAGACTTCATGAAAGAACAACACAACAAACAGGCTGAAGTGGATGAAGAGCACAGAAAAGCTGTGGAGAGGCTTAAAGAACAATATGCTGAGATGGAGAAGGACCTTGGAAAATTTTCAACCTTTTAAGAACCTGAACCACAACAGTGTGAAAGCATTGACTTTCCCCAAAGAACTAACTATTCTCATCAAACCATTTAGCCTCTGCTTCAAGCTTAGCAATATATTTAGTGGCACTCCTATCAGGAGAAAGAACTTCTACTGGAGTACTAATTGTTCAGTGGAAAAAGAGTGCTATATCTTTCCTGTTTAAGTGCCTATATATGATTATTTGGGCAAGAGTATGAAGAAAAATTGGATAGATTTACTTTTTTGTTAATCAGAATTTGTCTTTTGTTTTATTGATTGTCTCAGAGAACTGTAAGTATAGACCTCTTAGAAAAATAATTCATTCTTATACGGAGTTAATATTAGTTTATTATTGTGGCTTAGAAAGCAGATATAATAGTTGCCCGCTTTAGCCTCCTTGGCTATTGGAAGAATGTGTCAAGTGTTTTTCCATGAGTAATGTAGACAAAAACAGTGGTCCTTGGAACAGAGATCACCTTTAAGAGGTGAGAGTAAAACACTCTCTTCTGTAGCAAAGGTGGCCATGTTGGTCATTGAACTGCTGAAAGGTTACAGAGTCTGCAGTGCAGCATAATCCCCGTGTTTCACTGCTGACAAGACACACTTATTAAGTTTTGTGGCCTTCCAGCACTTCATACATCCAGCTTTTAAAACATGCTTTGAAGGAAAAGCTTACCAAAAATATAGTTTGACTTTTAGCCTTTCCAAGAACCATAATCTTGCCCATAGTATTTACCTCATTTTTGTGTCTCTTTTGCTGTGGGTGAGCTTTGTAAGACAAATAATCTCTAAATATGTTTCATCTGTGTAATGGGTAATCAGCAAAATCTGCAAGGAGTTCCTCTGGAATCATACAATTATTCTGTCTCTGAATATGCCAAAAGTATTTGCCCTCATGGCAAATAATCCATGTTAAATGTAAATCTTTTTTAGTGTTTAGCATCTGTTCTCATAAGCAGGTGTATTGTGATGAAACATGTACCAACTCAGTCATCACTGTGAGCTTTAAAAATCTGCATTTAACAGTGTAATTGAGGAACTAAATTATTTTTTTTATTTGCCATAAACAAAGCAAAATTAAATGCAATATTTCAAGAAGTTTATGGCAAATGAATTTGAGGTATGGATAAATCTTCCAAATATTTTTTATTGCCCTTCAATAAAGAAAGGCACAGAAAGAACTCTCTCATGTATCTCAATCTTACCAGTGCAGAAAGTGACAATGCTGGCTTGTGTAAATTTATGGCGTACTGTCAAAGCTGCATTCTTGGCTGCATGTTGAAAATGTGATTAAAGTTAATAGAGGAGATGAAATAAGTATTTGAGATTTCTTTTAATAGCACTGAACTTCTGCCAACTTTCTCTGTCTGCTACTGTAGGCTTGACAGGTTCATCAATCATCCTCTGGTACCTGGACTCAAAAGGGCTCTTGCTGACACAGAGGCATGTTGGAATTTTCTTAATTCTCTTTCTGTGGATGGAAAAAAACACAGACTTTTCAAAAATATCCCACACATGAAAAGCTCGGGGAGCCTTACATGAAAATTCCCTTTGTACTGTAGGCAGTTTTGGAATGCTATTAATTGCCAGTGCACCATTGAACAGAAGCTATAACCAGGAAATCAGGACTGTGTGTGAGCAGGAATGTACTCTTAACTGTGGTTACTCAACTGGTGCAATAAGGATTTCTGATAGCATATGTCCATCTCATAGGAATAATAAGTACTTTACCATATGAGTTTGTATATATTATGTAAGGATCTAAGGGACTTCTTAAACCAAAATGAAAAAATTGGCTTTTTGACCTTTAAACATTTAATATACTAACTTCTTTCTTTAGCTATTCAGTATAATTTCTAAAAGAGATGGTTGGTTTGCCTCCCTTTTAATACTCTGGTAGTCAGTACTTGCATTTATATTTCTTGATCTCCAAATCACTTTTTATATGTATTACACATATATATTAACTTTTATATGGTAATTACATAATTTATAACATTTTTGCTGTCTATGCCCTTGAGCAGAGATAAGAGGGGTTCATTGTAGCTCACATGATGATTTTCTTTTGAATAATGCTTAAGTGCTATAGAAATATTTACTTTTTTAAGTTCTAAGTGTTTTCTATTTTTTATGATTCTTTTTTTACTTACATATGTGTTACTTTTATTTCATTTCCTAACATAGATTTTTTAATTCTGTTCTTGTTACTGATATCTGCTTTAATTGGATTGTGGTCAGAGATGGGTCCATATAAAGTTGATATGGCAAAATTAGTTATTTTCCATTTTTTTATTTCTCCCTGTAATTTTGTCAGTTTTTGTTTCATATATTTTGAAGCTTAGTTATTAAGTACATACAAATTTAGAATTATCTTTCAAGTTTAGAATCAAGTCTTATATTTATAGTCATGACCTCTATTCATAATAATGTTTTTATTTCATTCTACATTGCTTTAAAACTCTGTGCTTTAACAATATATAAGCCACACCAGCTGGTTAATATTTGTATGGTATATATTTCTTTATCCTTCTGATGGATCTTTCTATTATGTTTTAGATGTGCCTCTTAAAAACTGTAATTTTTCTTTCTTTTTACCTGGTTATCTTTTACCTGAAGAGTTTAATCTATATTTATTGAACTTACTACTATATTAGGGTATACTTATATTATCTAATTATAATTTTTTAACACTTTTTCTGTTACCTTACTGCTCTTCTGGGGTGTCTTAGGTTTTGGGGTTTTTTTTTTTTTTTGCCTTCTTTCAAATTAAGTTGTGTTTTGTTTTTTCATTTACTTTTTCTCTACTATTTTAGAAGGTAAAAAAAAAAACTCAGTTTTTATCTTTTAGTGCTTAACAATTTAATTTGCATAATTAGCATAAAATATTTTCTTTCTAAACATGAGACTTTTGAACAAAGTCTGATCCCCCCAACTTATAAATTAGCGTCTAAAGTTTATTTTATCTCAGTTTAACTCCAAAAATAATTATGCAGTCAATATTTATTTAGACTTAGCTATAAGTATCATTTCATTATTCCTGAAAGTTAGCTGGGTTGACAGTCATTTTTTCTCAGTATTTAAAATTATCCTGTTCAGATTCATTGAGCTTCTTGAATCTACGAATTTGTATCTTTCATAAATTCTAAAAATTCTCAACTTTCATTTCTTTGAATATTGTACTTCCTTCATTCTGTCTATTCTCTCCTTTCGGGTATCAAATTAGACTTATGTTTTACTGTCTCACTCTGTTCTCTGTATCTCTGATTCATATTTTCTGTCTCTGTCTCTGTGTGAAATTTTGACCATGCATGTAAATTCTGGATAGTTTCTTTAACTCTTGCTCACTTCATTCATTCTGTCTTCTCACTGTTTCTGACCTACTTAACCTATCATAAATTATGGTCGTGTGTTTTTCTTTCATTTCCAGATGTTGTTTGGTTCTTTCTCACACTTTCCTGGTCATTTAGGATAGTTCCATTATTCTCTCTTTTTCTTTTCCTTAAACATATTAAATTACTTTTTTTGTAGATCTGACTCTACAATTTGTTGTTTGCTATTTTTTCCACAAGTTTATGGTAATTTGTTTTCTAATGTGATCAGTGATTTGGACTGTGAGTTCATATTCTTCTTTACTTGATGTTAGAGAATCTTTTAAGTATGCTTATACTGAGAAGATTTCTCTTTCTAGAACCACTGGCTTGTTCCTTGAGACACTGCTAAGCCTGGGCCACTTCAAAGTCAATGTCCACCTTGGGTTCCCGCCTCCCCCTCCCCTGTTCTTTACCACAGGCACATGCACTCTCACACACTCTTAGAAGTAGTGTGAATTTCATCCTGAAACATAGTGTTGGGCCGTGAGTGGCATTCTGAGAGGAGACTGTTTCCCCTTCAAAGCTCTACTTCAAGGAAAGAAGAGAAACTTTAGGTGGTTTCCTAGTTCACTCACTGAAAGTGGTTCCCTATGGAGATTCCTCAATCCTGTTGCTCCTCCACCTCCACCCTGTTATGAACTGAATTCTGTCCTTCAAAATGTATATGTCAGAGCCCTAATCCCAATGTGACTTCGTTTGGAGATAGGGCCTCAAGGAGGTAATTAAAGTTAAAGGAGGTAATAAGGGTGGGGCCCTAAGCACTGATGTCCTTATGAGAGGAAGAGACCACAGAGCACACTCTACACACACTCAGGGAAAGGTTGCATGACAACAAAAAGGTGGCTATTTGCAAACCAGGAAGAGACGCCTCACCAGAAATGGAATTTTCTGACAGCTTGATTGTTGGACTTCTTTCCTCCAGAACTAGAGAAAATTAATATTTGTTTATGCTGTGACATCTGTGGTATTTTACTATAGCCGCCAGAGCAGACTAATACAGCCCCAGACAATGATTCTTGTCCCCCATACAGCCATAGCTCCTTAAGACTGGGGTCCTTCTGGCTATAAGGCGACAGAGATGCCTTTAGGACAATTATAAGTTCTGGAGCTAAATTACCCTATAGAATTTCACTTTTCCCTTATCTTTATTTGGTTTTAAATTTTATTCTAGCCTTTTTGGTATTCAGCAGCTAGTGAGATTTCTCCTTATAGATATGGCATATTAGATAAGTATATGTTGAAGGGAGGATCCAAGATGGCTGCTCGGGTAGACATCTAGCCGCGGCAGCACACAACAATTTCAATGGAATACAACTAAAATGTAGAGTGGACATTGCCCAGAGCTACAGGTAGTCGACTGACTGAAATTTCTACAACAAGAAGGAAAGAGAAAACCAGAAAGAAAATCAGAGGAGCTGAAAAAAAGCCTAAGGTACGGAGACATGCTGCGCGCGCCTGCCCGCCTGCGCGCACGGAGAGGTCGCAGCCGGAGAGGAGGAGAGGGCGGGGAGCCGCCTTTCCTTCCCTAGCAGGAAGGAAATAAAACCTCCAGCCTGGGCTGAACCCCCGAACCGGCAGCGCTGAGCCCCCCCGAACCGGCAGCGCTGAGCCCCAGTTATGGGCCAGACC